AAAAAAAAATAAATAAATAAAACAAACAATAAAACAGAAAACAAGCAAAAAAGATGAAACATGGCAGGTGACAGTAGACTATCACTCAGTCAAGTAATCTGTTAGAGCGGACTGGCATGGCCTCCATGGTGCCTAATCATGGCTGCGCTGCTGTTCACTCCCATCATGAAGAGAACACATAGCTCACATTCCCAGAACAGAAAATCTCCAGGGCTGTGCCAAATTGCTTGCCTCCTGGCATTGTTGATTGCTTTTCTCCATGCTGTGATAAAACCCAACAGAAGCAACTCAAAGGAAGAGAACTTTGTTTTGGTTCACAGTTTGTAAGGAACAGTCAATCCATCTTTGTGGGAAAGGCATGGTGGGCAGAACAATGTGTTCAATGGTAGCAGGAGCTATTGGCACAATTTGGTTATATCTTATTTTATTTATTCATTTATTTATTTATTTATTTATTGGTTTTTCGAGACAGGGTTTCTCTGTGTAGCCCTGGCTGTCCTGGAACTCACTCTGTAGACCAGGCTGGCCTCGAACTCAGAAATCCGCCTGCCTCTGCCTCCCAAGTGCTGGGATTAAAGGCGTGCGCCGCCACCACCACCCCCCGGCTACAATTTATGTCTTAACCAAGGTTGGAGAAAAAGGAAAAACCTTGAAATAAACTTAAAACAACCAAGATGATATATTCAGGGATATATAAAATTTCTATATCATAAGTCATTGAACTGTACACTGAAGTTTTATACATTTTCTATATGTATACATTATTATTTAAGAAAACATGCATTTCAAGTGCTAAAGAAATGGCTCTGTAGTTAAGAGTACTAGCTGCTCTTCTAGAGGACTTGGGTTCAATTCCCAGCACCCACATGGCAGCTCACAACCATCTGTAGCTCCAGTTTCAGTGGATATGAAACCCTCTTCTGGCTTCCGTAGGCACCAGGAATGCAACTGGTGCAAAGACAGACACACAAGCAGGCAAAGCACCCATCTACATAAAATGCATTTTTTCAACTTCAAATTTTCCTCTACAGAAATCATGCCCAAGTTCAAACAGCGAAGAAGAAAGCTAAAAGCCAAAGCCAAACGGTTGTTTAAGAAGAAAGAAGCCTTGCAGGTCCCGCCTAAGTTATTGACACCTCCCCCTCCACCACCCACCCCAGAGAGGTAAGGTGTGATGGGGAAGACAGAAACAATTAGCCATCCGTGTCAGCCAGTGATAATATAAGAACATGCAGTCAAATTTGAATTTCGTCCCCCATATAAATCATTTTTAAGTATGTCCCATGTGAAGTTTGAACTGTGCTTATATGAAAAGTATTGCTGGGCATGGTAGTTCAAGCTCTCTGTAACCCTACCACTCAGGAGGTTGAGGCAGGAGAATTGCTGAGAGTTCAAGACTATCTTGGGCTACATAGTGAACTCTAGGCCAGCCTGGGCTATAAAGTAAGACAGAGGAGAGAAGGACACAGTGGCACACGTTTTCAATGACATCACTCAGGAGGCAATGCAGGCAGATCTCTGTGAGTGCTAGGCCAGCTGAGGGATGTGTAGGGCGATGCCAAAGGAAATCCTGTCCCTAAAAATGAAAAGCAAAGTAGAGACAACAAGAAGGCTCAGCAGGTAAGCATCCTTTGCCTCCAAGCTTAACTCATTGAGTCTGATCCCTGGGACCTATGTGGTAGAAAGAGAGAAGCAACTCCTGAGACTGTCCTCTGACACATATGCACGCACGCACACACACATACAGTGTTTAAGCTGGACATGGTGGCACATACCATTAATCCTAGCAATCTATAGGTTGAGAAGATGATCAAGAATTCAAGGTTATCCTCAACTTATACAGCCAATTCAAAAACTACATGAACTATGTGAAACTGACTTAAAAATAAATCAGTTACATTTTTAACCAGACCTCCTAAATTTTGCATAGCACAGGAGTTCAAACGAGGGCTTCAGAGATAGCTCAGTGGTCCACAGATTGCTCCTGCCTAGAGTACTTTGAGTTCCCAGTACCCATGCAGGACAGCTCATAACTGCCTGTAACTCCAGCTCTAGGGGATCTGATACATTCTTCTGGGCTCCTCAAGTATCTGCAGACCCACACACAACACACACACACATCTTTCTTTTAAAATGTAAGAATCAGAAGAAGTTGTATTCAAACCCAAAGTACCTACTTTCCCTTTTGAGTTGAATTTTACTGAATAATTGTAGCAACTACCTGATAAAACAAGGGTGTAGATAAAAGCCTTAATTGCGGTCAGGTTGGTCATCTATTCTGAGACTCGAAAGTTGAATGTATCATAGAAAGAAAGGCTGAGCCCCAGGAATTATAGGGTGCTAGTGTTCCTACTAACAATCTTTGCTCACCCAGTGTTTTAACTCCCTCTCCACATTCTTTAGTTTGCGAGGATTGGTTCTTACTTTGTTAGTTTTGTTTGAGAAAGAGTCTTTCTGTCTCCAGTCCTGGCCACCCTGGAACTGTTTGTAGCCCAGACTGACCTTGAGCTTTTAGAAATCATCCTGTTTTAACCCCTCCTGTTTCTCCCCTGGGTGCTTGGTATGTACCACCTTATTCAGCTTACTTTATTTTTTATATGCCAGGGATTAAATTCAGGGTATTACACATGAAGAACAAAAATTAAAACTAAAGTCAGGCTTTGTAGCCCACATCAATAATTTCACATTGTGTTTAACAAGGTCATCATAGGATACATAAGACCCTGTCTCAAAAAATAAAAATATGCCGAGTGGCAGTGGTGGTGGTGGTAGTGCAGGCCTTTAATCCCAGCACTCAGGAAGCAGAGGCAGATGGATCTCTATGAGTCTGTTGAGTCTGTGGCCAGTCTGGTCTACAAAGTGAGATCCAGGAAAGCCAGGGCTCAAGTGCGCTAGCTCACAACCACACACAACTCTGGCTGCAGAAGATCCCTTACTCTCTGCCCTGGCCTCTGCAGGCACTCACACACATGGCATACACTCGCACAGATGCAGCACACACACACACACACACACACATAATTTATTTTAATCTAACAGTAAGTAAATAAATAAATAAATAAATAAATAAATAAAGCTATGCTAAGCGCACACATGGGTGATCCCAGCACTCAGGAAACAGAGAAGATTGGTGTAAGTTCAAGATAACCCTGGTCCACACTGCACAGTCAGAACAACATAGTGAGACCCTGTCTCAAAAAAAGGAAAAGCAAAGCAAGGAAGTCAGTCAGTCATTCAGAACATGGTCCTGAGTCACACTATAAACAAGCTATCTAAGATAGGAGATACAGATCACTGCAAAAATGTATGCTTGTCATACACCCTTAGACTCACTCCACAGCCCCCAAATTAATTAATTTAAAATAAATAAAGCCTACAAATTACTTAATTAGACGCTGTCACTCTTGGGCGGTGGTGGCGCACGCCTTTAATCCCAGCACTTGGGAGGCAGAGGCAGGCGGATTTCTGAGTTCGAGAGTTCGAGGCTAGCCTGGTCTACAGAGTGAGTTCCAGGACAGCCAGGGCTACACAGAGAAACCCTGTCTCGGAAAAAAAAAAAAAAGAAGCTGTCACTCTGACCTAGGTTGGAGTTGGGAGATGGTGTGTTAGGACAGAGTCTCACTCTGTAGCCTTGGTTGGCCTAGAACTCACAGAGATCCACCTGATTTTATAGTATGACTTGGAAGCAGGGATGTCTTTTCATTTTTGAGACAAGGTCTTGCTCTATTGTTCTGACTGGCCTGGAACTCACTATGTAGAACAAACTTGCCTTGAACTTTTACCTATCCTCCTGTCTCTGCTTTCTGAGCGTGCACTACCATGCCCAGCCAGACCCACGATCTTTTTATTTGTTTTTGATGTTTCTTCCACAGAGTGGTTACTTCTTCAACAGATATTCCCCAAAGCAGAAACTGGCTAAGACCATCTTGGAACTTCAGATTTCCTAACATCAAAGATGCAATAACCCTTTGGACAAACAGAGCATGGTGCATATACAGTTGCTGTCAGACCTGTGTAACCCAGGTATAGGGGTCATAAACCTGTTCTCAGCTATATAGTGTTTTTTTTTTTCCCTGCCAAACATAGTATTTGTGTTCTTTTTATGGTTCCTAGGCTTGATATACTCCCAAGGCTAAGCTTGGATAAGATTAATTTGTGCAGTTATGCCTGTCTTTGTTTACATAAGACATATGTGACACCACTTGCTTTATCATGCTGCTCATCAGAGTCAGGCTTGTTTATTTATGAATTTCAGAGTTTAGAAGTAATGAAAGATGCCATCTTCCCATCCCGAGTCTACCACAGAGAACTTTACAGTCTAAAACAAGAACTGTGTGTTTTGAAAAGTAAATTGTGCAAGCTCCAAAGAAACCTAAAGGTTGGTATTGCCAAACAAACAAATCCAGAGATTTTATCTGAAAAGACTATTGCAGTAGGAAAATACTCTGGGTATGAATTTGGGTATTACCTCAAGTATCAGGCAAAATGGATTCCTTTTGCAAAGGAAAAAGGCAGAACTATAATGGAGACACTGGAGAGATGACTGCCCAGTTATGAGAGTGTGCTGCCCTTGCAGAAGATCAGTCTCGGTTTCTAGCACCTATAATGGGAGTCTTACAAGTGCCTGTAACTCCAGCTTCAAGGGATCCAACCTCTCTGGCCTCCACAGGAATCCGTACTCATGAGTGCACATATGCACACATCCACGTAGTTAAAAACTTAAATCTATTTTCAAATGTACATTAGGAAAAAGTAATGGTCTTGGCCACACAAAATAGAAGTACAAAAAGGAATTATAAAATAAAAAAAATACAAGTATAAAAGGACTATCAGTGAGCAACACTGATTGACAAAACAACAAAAAAACCCTAAAAGGTTTGAAAAAATGGATGCTTTCTTACATTATTGAGAAGAGCATAAACTAATGAAACCTTCATGTACTATGGTGAGGAAATGGTCCTGTGGTTAAGAGTACTTGCTGCTCTAGCTGAGAACCGAGGTTTAGTTCCCAGCACCCATGGCGGGTATCTCGTCACTGCCTGTAACCCTAGTACCAGGGAATCAGACGCCCTCTTCTAACCTCTGCAGGCACCTACAGCCACACAGTGCACATTCAAATAGATAGGCACCATACGTATATAGAACATAAAATGAGTACCTTTTTAAAAAAATATTATTTATTTAATGTAAATGAGTACACTGTAGCTGTCTTCAGATACACAAGAAGAGGGCATCGGATTCCATTACAGATGGTTGTGAGCCACCATGTGGTTGCTAGGAATTGAACTCAGGACCTCTGGAAGGGCAGTCAGTGCTCTTAACCACTGAGCCATCTCTCCAGCCCAAATGAATACCTTTTTTAAACATTTCTGTTTTATTTCCAGCAGGAAGTACCTAGCGATGGGCTCAGTTGGTAGAGTACTCGGTCAGCACACCTGAGGCCCTGGTACTACATAAGCAGCCATGGTGATATACACCTGTAGGCATAGCTCTTAGGAAATAAAGGCTGGAAGATTAGAAGGGAAAGCCATACTCAGCAACATAAGGAGGTTGAGGCTAGCTTGGGAGACATGAGACCCTGGCTCACAAAAAATATATTTTTAGGGCTGGAGAGATGGCTCGGTGGCTAAGAGCACTGACTGCTCTTCCAGAAGTTCTGAGTTCAATTCCCAGCAACCTCATAGTGGCTCACAACCATCTGTAATGAGATATGATACCCTATTCTGGCATGTCTGAAGACAGCTACAGAGTACTCATAAGCATAAAATAAATAAATAATTGTTCAAAAAAATATGTTTTTAGCTTGGCGTATAACTTAACTGTAAAGCATTTTCCTGCCATGTGAACTCCAAGTTCAATCTCCAGCATGACAGAAGGGAGACTTGCAAATAATAAATACTGAAGTGTGATGAGTGTGCAAATGTAGCATTCATGAGCCTGGGAGTGTAGATCAGTGGTAGACTGCCTAAAATGTCGACTGTTCAGTCCTCAGCCTGGCAGTGAGCAACAAAAGGAGCCGGGACACCAAGAATCCCCTGCACCCCATACCAGCACTTTTCATTAGGCATGGCAGAGGCATGAGCTTGCCCAGACTAGATTACAGTTCTGGACCACTGTGAGCTACAGATGAGACTGTGTCTCAAAAAGAACAAAAGACTATACCATTAACTGAACTAAATATAAGGGCATAGAAAGAGATGGTGTTAGGTTTCTATAAGATGCATCATGTATAGTTAAAACATATAATGTGATATTTTTTCAGCTGGGCACAGTGACATGTGCCTATAGTTCCCGTCCACTAGAGAAGCCAAAACAAGAGAATCACCAGAGCCTAGGAGTTCAAGGCCACTCTGCACCCTCATCTCAAAATGGCTAATCATCTAACTAGATAGTTACATATTATATGTGTGTACCACATATATGATAGTTATCTTTGTATATAAGAACATATAAAATATTTAGTACATAATCTATGTAATACATAATTGCATATATAATACATAATATATATGCATACTATATGAATAATTAAATAATGCATGATATGTAATACTTATATATGCATCTAAATTATCACACACACACACACACACACATACACACACACACACACACACACACACACACATATATATATATATATATATATATATATGTATATGTATATATATGTATGTATACTTATATTTCCTTATGGGTAAAGACTGTCTTTAAGCAGGGCTCTGATCCGTTAGTATAGCAGTATCCTAAAATGCACAAGGCCCTGAGTATGCTCCTCATAATTGGATACAAGAACAACAATAAACACAGCTTGGGTGTGGCTGCGGTGGGTAAATGGCCAGAAGAGGGTATCGGATCTCTTGGAACAGAATTAGACAGTTGTGAGCTGCCCTGTTTGCTCTGGGAACCAAAGCCAGTCCTCTGCAAGAGCTGCAAGCTTGTAACTGCTGAGCCTTCCCTGTGGCCCAATAAACATTAGAACTATTGCGGTAAATTTGTTATTGTCAGAAGTAGTCTCTGTAATCCAGCAAGGCTGAGGAAATAGTTTGCCTTGAGTTTAAGGCCAGCCTGGACTACAGTATGAAACCCTGTCTGAAAAAAAAGGAAAAAAAAAAAAAACAAACTATGCATCACCCAATTAATCTATTGTCCATTTGTCAAATATGGTATCTTCCAGAGCATCTCAGAAAACTCATCTTGTTCAAGCTGTTGTCACACGTGTTGCATGAGTCATAAACTTACAACTGTGCCTGCCTGTGCTCCAACAACCCATGAGGAATCCCAAACAACACTTCCTCCCACACAGCCACAGCCAGCCAGTCATCTTCCCCCTCCACCTCCGCCTCCGCCTCCTCCTCCCCCTCTCCCTCCACCTCCACCACCCCTAGCACCTTTGCTGCTCAGAAAATCTGGTACCACTAAAGCACTTCAGGTAAGAAATAAGAAACAGCATGCCTTGGTTAGAGTGTAATACAGGAGTAAAGCCAAGTGGCCTTTTAAAGCTGGACCAAAGGCCTAGATACAAATACAGACTATATTTTGTTCTGATTCTATACCTTAATTTTGTTAATTATTCCAATTTTAGTTATAAGTTTTTGTTGGACTTTTTTTTTTTTTTGAGGTGGGGGAGGCTTGTTTTTGTTTTTAGATTATAGTCGCATTGTGTTGCCCCAGTTGGTCTTGAACTGGTAGGCTCAAGCAATCCTGTTTTAGTCTTTGAGTAGGTAGCATTATGGGCATATGTCACCACACCAGTGTAATTATTGGGTTTTCTTGTTCTTGTTTTGGTTTAGGTTTTTGTTGTTGGCAATTTTTGTTTATTTGTTCTCTGAGACAGGATCTTGATATGTAACCCAGACTGCCTTAGAACTCAATATGTAGCATAGGCTAACCTCTTAGGATCTTTTGCTTCAGCTTCATGAGGAGCTTGGACTGTAGTCCACCATATATACATACATACATACATGCATACACACACATATACATATTCTAATACGTACAAATACGTGTGTGTGTGTATGTGTGTATGTGTGTGTGTATGTGTGTGTATGTGTGTGTGTGTGTGTGTGTACACGTGTGTGTATAGACCACTATACCTTGCTCCAATTATTGTGTATTTTGAAAGGTTTATTCCCAGCACATATCTAAGCCTAGCAGTTCAGAAATAGAAGTAGGAGAATCAAGAGATCAAGGTTGTCCTTGGTTATGTGGGGAGTTTATGGCCATATTTTGTATTTGAACCTAGTCTCAGAACAAAAATACAAAGAAAAAAAAGAAAAGAAAACTCTGGTGTGGGGGAGCTGGAAAAATGGCTCAGCAGTTAAGAGTACTTGGTGCTCTTCCAGAGAACTGGGGTTTGGTTCCTAGCACCAACTTTGTAAGGCACAACTCTCTATAACTCGAGTTCCAGGAGATCTGACATCCTCTTGTAGTCTCCAAGGGCTCCAGACATACATGTAGTATACATACATACATACATACATACATACATACATACATACATACCAAACACTCATATATCAAAATATAGAAATTTTTTAATTATAAAGTTATTTTTTATCCTATGTGAATGGATGTTTTGCCTGATATATGTCCATGTACCATGTACATGCTTGGTGAATGAAAAGATCAGAAGAAGGTGTTGGATCCCCTGGAACTGGTGTGAGTCATGGGTACTGGGAACAGAAGTCAGGTCCTCTGCAAGTGCTCTTAACCACTGAGCCATCTCTCCACTCCAAATAAGAACATTTTAAGGTACTCTGGCACCACCCCACATACCCACATCCACCCACACCCGATTCTCGCTTGCTCGGACAGAATGTGACTAATCCCTAAGGTTACATAAGAATTGACTTTAGATGGATACGGTGGTACATTCCTATAATCCCAGCACTTGGAAGCTGAGGCAAGAGGATTGCCATGAGTTTGAGGGCAGTTTAAGCTACATATGGAGTACTAGGACAGGCAAGACTACATAGCAATACCCTGTCCCAAAAATCATCGTAAAGGAGAAGGAAAAAATAAAATAAATAAATAACAATAGCAAGTTAACTTTCAATTCTTGACTCTTTACGAAGTAGATTTGGATTTCACTAGATGTCCTGATCCCAATTTTTTTTTTTTAAAGATTTATTTATTTATTATATATGAATACACTGTAGCTGTCTTCAGACACACCAGAAGAGGGCAGCGAATTTCATTACGGATGGTTGTAAGCCACCATGTGGTTGCTGGGATTTGAACTCAGGACCTCTGAAAGAGCAGTCAGTGCTCTTAACCACTGAGCCATCTCTCCAGCCCCCCTGATCCCAATTTTAATTCTAACCTCTTTGTGTATTTTAAGGTTGAACCATTAAAGAAAGAAGGACCCATGCATATAACAGTTAAAGATCTACTCACTGTGAAATTAAAAAAGACACAGAGTATTGATGAAAGAAAGAAGGTAAGATGTCATGAGTGCACACAGGCCTGCTTCCTTTTGAGTATTTTGTGTATGTGTTATATTTGTTTGTTTGTGAAGATGTGAATAAAGATCAGGTTAGAACTCACTCTGTAGACCAGGCTGGCCTTGAACTCACAGAAGTCCACCTGCCTCTGACTCACAAGTGCTGGGAGTAAAGGTTAGCACTACCATGGCTGATATCTACCTGACTTTTTTTGATGTGGTGTCTCACTGAGCCTAAAGCTCGCTGGTTCAGCTACAAACAATGAGCAGCAAGCCCCAGGGATCCTCCTAACTGCCTCCCCCATGCTACAACTGCAGATGTCTACTGCCACACCCAGCTTTTTACACAGATGCTGGGAATCCGATCTCAAGTTCTCAACTTTAAACAGCAAACACTGTACCAACCAAGCTAAGTTCCGAGGTGTGTTTTTCTGAGATAAGATCTTGGTACTTAACCCAGGCTTCAAATCCTTGAATACACCATACCTGAACTTTACAAATGTTAGAAACACAGCACCATGCCTGGCATTTTCCTTTTTTAACCTGGTTGTTCCTTTGTGGGAAATAAATATGATAAACTTTATATGTAGAAGTCATTCTGTGGCCTCTGAGTATACAGTTTAATGACAGAGCATTTGCCTAATATGTTTGAGGCCCTGGGTTCAATATTTAAAAACAAAAACACAAAGAAAACAGGCTTGGGAGATGGTTCCGTTGATAAAGTGCTTGCCATAAAAGTGTGAAGACCTGAGTTCAGATCCCTGACTCTCATCTTTTTAAAAGCAGCCCTCCCTAATCTAAGACTGGAGAAGTGGAAACAGTCAGATTCCCAAAACTCCCCAGCTAACCAGTCTAGCCAGTGAGCTCCAGGTCCAGAGAGAGACCCTGTCTCAATATGATAGGGAATGATCGTGAAGATGCCTGCCATTGACCCTGGCCTCCATGCACACATTCACACACATGCACAAGAATATGTTCACATAGGTACATCATGTATACCCATACACATCTCACATTCAAGATGGACACAGTGGTATACACCAATGATCCTAGCACTTGAGCGGTAGTGGCAAAGAATCAGGAGTTCAGAGTCATCCTTCGGTACATGGGGAGTCAAGAGGCCAGCCTGGGCTACAAGAGACATATTGTAGATAAAAACAGAGACAAGTGTGGGGCCTCATACCTGTAATCTTATCACTTGAGGCAGGAGGATTTCTTTGAATTCAAGAGCACATCATAGTAAGTTTCTGGCCAGCCTAGTCTAGCCAATGCATCCAATCTAGTAAAACCCGAGAGAGGTGAGGGAGGGGAGTGTGAGAGACAGCCTTTGAACCTTTGAAATAAAAATTGGGTTGAATCATGGAAAACTTACACTCTGGCCATCAAAATATTTGCCATTTTGGTGTGTTCACATTCAAGTGGTATTTTATCATGTATCGTTAATGTTTCATTTTGTAATTGAAGCTTGTACCATCACCACCAGAGGAACGGACTCCACTAGTTACTGTCTCTGACCTGCAGCGTGTTACCCTGAAACCTAACTCCAGGGTGTTAGCAACTCGAGTTAAAAATGTCTTAATGTAAGTAAGGAACTACACAGCATTATTCTCTACTGCTACTTAAAATGCGATTTTTTTTTTAATTAAATGTAATTTATTGTTGTGTGTGTATGTTGGGGATGGGGGAAATGTACACAAGCCACTGCCCTTGTATGGAGGTCAGAAGACAGCCTTGTGGAGCTGGTTCTCACGTCACATGCCACAGGGATTCTGAGGGATCAAACATTGGCCATTAGGCTTGCGACGCACCAAGGGCTCCTTATCCATTGAAACTTTTATTTTTTTATTTTTATTTTTTTTTAATTTTATGTGTGTGAGTACACTGTGACTCTCTTCAGACACACCAGAAGAGGGCACCAGACCCCATTACAGATGGTTGGGAGCCACCATGTGGTTGCTGAGATTTGAACTCAGAACCCCTGGAAGAGCAGTTAGTACTCTTAACTACTGAACTAAATTTTTTTTTAATTTTTTTTTTTTTTTTTTTTGTTTTTTTAGAGAGGGTTTTTCTATGTAGTCCTGGCTGTCCTGGAACTCAATCTGTAGACCAGGCTGGCCTTGAACTCAGAAATCCACCTGCCTATGCCTCTCAAGTGCTGGGATTAAAGGCGTGTACCACCACCGCCCAGCTTGAACTAAATTCTTAACTACTGAACCATCTCTCTAGCCCTTTTTGGCCCATTTTTAACTTTTTGTTTTATGTTGTTGTTTGTAACACAAAACAAAAAGTTAAAAATGGGCCAAAACTTCTGTCTTGAGACAGAATTCCACTCTGTTGCTCCTGGTATCCAGGAACTCAATGTGTTAACCAGGCTGGCCTTGAACTCAAAGAGATCCACCTGTCTCTGTCTCCCAAGTGCTATGACTAAAGGCATGCACCACTACACTCAGCTTCATCTTTAACTTTTAAAATTACATATGCTCACTATGGAAAAATTGGAACCTACAGAAATTTAAAGAGAAAAGCAAAATTCAGGTAGGTAGTTCTCCTGGATCTGTGTAATTCATTCAACTCTCAACTTCCTACTGTAATAGTTATACAGTCATGAGAGACAGCTACTGATGGGTTTGAATGAAAACACTATTGGATGAGTTGCTGTTGTCATTTTGTTGAATTTTTATCATTCCTGTCTTTTTCCGAGTGTATACTATTTTATTGCTTCCATTAAGAGGTTGTCTATTGTCAGTCATACTACTGATTTAATAACAAATTTGGGGCAAAAATGAAATATTAACAGGGATTTTTTTTTTAAGCCAGGTATGAGTGCACAAGCCTATAATCCAAACACTTGGGAAGTGGAAACAGGATGATCAAGGCCAGCCTGAGCTATGTGACACCATGCTTAAACAAAACAAAAACAAACAAAACATTTTTTAACCCTTCAGTTTCAGGGCTGGTGAGATGGCTCAGCAGGTAAAGGTGTTTGCTGCCAAGCCTGGAGACCTGAGTTCAGACCCATGTGGTAAATGGAAAGAACCAAACTAAAAGTTCTTCTCTGCCCTCCACATGTAAATGGTGGTACAAATGTACACACACACACTTTGTTTTTAAATTTCATTCATCTGCCTCCTGACTATGGGTGCAGTGTAATCAGATGCCTTAGACTAGTACACTGGTTGTCACTCCTTTCCTGCATGATGGACTGTATCTGTTCATTTTTTCCTTTTACCTTTTTTAAGACAGGATCTCACTGTGTAGCCCTCACTGACTTGGAGCTCACTTTGTAGACCAGGCTGGCCTTGAGCTCACAGAGACTCATCTGTCTCTGCCTCCCAAGCAATAGCATTAAAAACAAGCCTGACCGTGCTCAGCATGCACCCCTTCTTAAATCATTAGCTTGCATAACTTGGACTAATTTAACATAATCAATTGTATGTAAATTTCACAGCTGAAATCCTGTTTTGAGACATTAAGATTGCTTATGGTTTCTACTATCGCTCTTCAATAACTGTCCCAACTGCCATTCTTATGCTTAGCTAAGTTTTTCCCTAGGACAGACTCTTACAGGAATTACTACTCGGTCGGGTAGTTTTACTTTGGGTTGAGGTCTACATAAGCTCAGTGATGAACACTTAGAATGTGAAAGGCTCTGGGTTCACACCCCAGCATCACCATGAAACCATTCTTACTGGAATGGCTATATAGAACCAGGCATAGTGGTACACACACATTTGATACTAGCACTTAGGAGTCAGAGGCAGGTGGATCTCTGAGTGCTAAGCTAGCCTGGTCTATATAGTGAGTCCTAGGACATTCAGAGCTACATGAGTGGGGGCACGGAAAGAAACAATGGCTATATAGTATATGATCCTATGCTGCATCTGCTGCTATTTTCTTTTATTAATTGTCATCATTGGGCTGGAGAGATGGTTCAGAGGTTAAGAGCATCATGTGCTAATCCAGATGGTTCTGAGTTCAAATCCCAGCAACCATGGCTTACAACCATCTGTACTGAGATCCGATGCCCTCTTCTGGTGTGTCTGAAGACAGTGACAGTGTATTCACATACATGAAATAAATAAATCTTTTTAAAAAATCATCATCATCACTATTACTATTGATTTTTTGGGGGGGTCGGGGGGGGGGGGGCAGGGCTTCTCTGTGTAGCCCTGGCTGTCCTGGAACTAACTCTGTAGACCAGGCTGGACTCACAGAGATCCACCTGCCTCTGCCTCCTGAGTGCTGGGATTAAAGGCTTGGGCTGACATCACCCAACCTATTGTTTTCTTAATGTAGCAAAACAAACAAGCAAACAAAACAAACCTGTAAAATTGACCTCATTTAGAAAAAGTGGTGAAGTCTGGAAAGTTTAATGTTTATGTCTTTATTCTCAGTTCTCCTGGTAAAAGCCAAATTGATCTCCGGAAACTGCTGAGAAAAGTCGAGGTAGAAAGGTAAGAGCCTCTCACTCCTATGCTTTCCATGTCACTTAGGAGAGTGGGAATAAAACCCAGCTCTGCTCTTCTTCACAGGAGCCCGGGTGGGACCCCTATTAACAACAAAGAAAACATGGAAACAGGAACTGGACTCACTCCAGTCATGACTCGGGCCTTAAGGAGAAAGTTTCAGGTAAGTCTGCATGGGAAAACCAAAAATTCAAACTTAAGTCCCCTGGTTTGCCTGAAAAATCATTTCTGTAAGTGTTGAGACTGTGGCTGGGCGTGCATGAGGGCCTGGTTCAGTGCCAGGCACTGGAGGGAGGAAGGGAGGGAAGGAGAATAAGCTAATTTATTTAGAATCAGAAGCACTTATTTATATATATTTTGAAATTGGGTCTCACTGTAATTCCCACGCTGACCTCAAGTGCGGACTCTTCCTGACTCAGCTCTTAGGAAAATAGGTGCGTTCCACTACGTTAAAAAAGTAGCGCTCTCTCTCTCTCTCTCTCTCTCTCTCTCTCTCTCTCTCTCTCTCTCTTCCCTCCTTCGTCTCCCTCCTCCATCTCCCTGTCCTTCCTTCCTCCTCCCTCTTCCTCTCCCTGTCCTTCCTCTATCTTCTTCCCTTCCCTCTCCCCCCTTCCCCTTCCCCTCCCTCTCCCCCTCTCCCCTCACCTCTTCTTTCCCTTCTCCCTTCTCCTCCCCCTCTCTCCTCCCATCCTCCCCCCCACTCTTCCTCTCTGTTTTTCTTTTTTTCTTTCTTTTTTTTTTTTTTTTGGTTGTTGTTTTTTGTTTGTTTGTTTTTGGGTTTTTTTGTTTTGTTTTTGTTTTTCGAGACAGGGTTTCTCTGTAGACCTGGCTGTCCTGGAACTCACTCTGTAGACCAGGCTGGCCTCAAACTCAGAAATCCGCCTGCCTCTGCCTCCCAAGTGCTGGGATTAAAGGTGTGCGCCACCACCGCCCGGCTCCTCTCTGTTTTTCAAGACAGGGTTTGTCCGTGTAGTCCTGGCTGTCCTGGAACTCACTTTGTAGACAAGGCTGGCCTCGAACTCATGGAGATCCACCTGCCACTGCCTTCCAAGCACTAGGATTAAAGGTGTGCGCCATCTGGACAGCAAGTAGCTCTCCTAGTAACAATAATAATAATAACAGGGCCTGGAGAGTACATAGCAGTTAAGAGTGCATATATTCTAACAGAAGAGGTGAGTTGGACTCCCAGCACCCACAGCAGGCAGTTCCCAGTCATTTGTGACTCTGGCTCCTAGGGCATCTGACTGTTCTGGCCTCTGAATACCTATACTCATAAGTACATTCACATAGTTTAGAAATTAAAACTAGCTGTGCAGTGGTGATACACGCCTTTAATCCCAGCACTTCAGAGGCAGAGGAAAGCAGATCTCTGAGTTCAACACCAGCCTGGTCTACAGAGTACATTCTAGGACAGGTAGGGCTGCACAAAGAAACCTTGTCTTGAAAACAAAAGAAAAAACCTTTAATTAATAGTAATAAATCAAGCCAGGCAATACACACCTTTCACCCTAGTACTTAGGAGGTAGAAGCAGGAGGACCTGGACTATATAGTGAGTCCCAAATTGCAGCTAGGAGCTTCAAAATACAAACAAACACAAAAGCCTGTCTTGTTGATACAGACTTAAAATACTTGAGAAGCTGAGACAGGAAGAGACTACAGAGTATTTTGAAGGCTTGCTTGTGCAGCTTAGTGAGTGTTGAGGCCTGCTCCTTTTAACATAACTGTAGCCATTTTGTATTCAGTCTCCATTTTGCTCCTAGGGTAAAATTAAGTTCAGGTTCTCAGACTCAGCTTCCCACAAGTAAATACTCATCCATAGCTGACACTGGAAACTTCTCCTAAAAGGTCATAATGCTCTAGTCGTATTACTTACATTCTGCTGTATTAGAGTGCTCTGAGACTCCTCTAGTCACCACCTGCCCACCACCCCTCTTACCCGACTTTACTTTGTCTGGTTAGCCAAAATGCCTTCTGAACTTCTGAGCTTGGTTTTTCCTGTAAAAAGCTTGCCCTAAGAATAAATTGTTATCACAGTTAGGCTCCTAAGTCTTTTTTGGTGGTCCTGATTGTTCAGTCTTGGGTATGCATTCAATTAGCTATTCTTGCTTAATGAGACCAGTGTTTGTATGGTCTGTGTAGCAATTCCTGAACCCCCACAGTGAGTTTTTATCTCAAAATAAGAAGTCAAAAGAGTCTAGAACTGGAGGTCAGTGATAAAGCCCTTCCCAACCTAGCATGAGGGACACCCTGTGTTCAGCTTCCAGTACTACAAAGGCAAGCAAAAAAGACAACAAACAAATCAGGGAATGATAATTTTTCATTCTGTATGCTTTGCAAAATGCTTTAATTATTTGGTATTATCAAATTCTATGAAGAAAATAAAAACACCGTAATTTACAGCTAGGATTACATTTCCCCCTTCCTAATGAGTGTTTGATGATATAATTTCCTTTAGAGACAGTTTACCAAGTACTTCCTTATGATAAGCACTGGACTAGAGTACCAGGATTAGAATAGTTAACAATGGCAGACACAGATCTGCTTGTCTTTTTTTTTTTTAAATGTATGAGTACTCTGTCTGCACGTATGACTGCACACCAGAAGAGGGCATCAGATCCCATTTACAGATGATTGTGAGCCACCTTGTGGTTGCTAGAAATTGAATTCAGGACCTCTGAAAGAGTAGCCAGTGAATTTTTTTTTTTTTTTTTTTAGAATTATTTATTTTGTGTATATGTAGCTTTCTTCAGACACACTAGAAAAGGGCATCAGATCCCATTACAGATAGTTGTGAGCCACCAGGACTTCTGGAAGAGCAGTCAATGATGCTCTTTTTTTTTTTTTTTTTTTTTTTTTTTGGTTTGGTTTCTCGAGACAGGGTTTCTCTGTATAGCCCTGGCTGTCCTGGAACTTACTCTGTAGACCAGGCTGGCCTCGAACTCAGAAATCCGCCTGTCTCTGCCTCCCAAGTGCTGGGATTAAAGGCGTGCGCCACCACTGCCCGGCTGTCAATGATGCTCTTAACCACTGAGCCATCACTCCAGCCCATGATCTGTTGTTTTGAACCTTTCATCCATTGGAAAATATAGATGTGAATCAAAGAATTCTTTATTGTCTCATTCCATAGTGAGTGCTGTTAAGGAAAAGAATAAGGTTTTGTTGGAAGCCATGATAGGATATGATCTAGCCTAGCTGGCCTAGCCTGGAATATTTCCTTACGTAATGATTCTGGCAAAGACATTTAAAGAATGAATAGGAAGTAACAGGGAGAGGGTTATTCTACCATAAATGTCAGAGAAGAGAATATTCTAGGCAACAAAAGAACAGCATGTGTAAGTGTCCCATCTGAGGTGCCTAATGGCCTATAAAACAGCCTGACAAATGGCAGCGAACTTTCTCTAGACCTGACAGAGGCCACAGACGAGGATGGAGTTGGGAGTCAGACTGTGCTATGCAGTGTTAGCAAGAAAAGGCTGAACAGCTATCTCATGGTCACCTGTGTAGGTGAACCACATGGACAGCAACTTTTCCACACCAGTTAGTGTAGTCATCTTCCTGATCGCCTGTATTGCTGAGTCTGTGACGAGAAGCCATCTTCTGCTGGAATGCTCGGACTTGGGCTTGAAGGACTTGTGGCTTCCAACGCTGTTGTTCCTTCTTCCCATGGGGCCGAAGCACCACAGCCTCCTGGATAAAGAGAGGAGCCTCACAGAAGCCTTAGGCCCTTTCTTTCTCTATTAGCCTAGGACCCTACTACCCTTGCCCCACCCCATAACTGGTACAATGTGCTGGGAACTATGGAAACAGGCAGTAATAATAATGATAACAACAACAACAGAATCCCAAACCCACTTAGGGGGAAGATATATAGTAAAAATTGTTAAAGAGGTCAGGCATGATGGTGCATGCTTTTAATCTAAGCAGTTGGGAAGTGGAGACAAGTGGATCCCTGAGTTCAAGGCCATTTTGGTCTACAGAGTGAGTTCTAGAACATGCAGGGTTTCACAGAGGTAATTTTACCATACAGGGTTTAGTCAAAATACTAATTCATTTTTCTATATACATAATATATTTTTATAAATGTACTCTCCCCCTAACCCCACCAAGGGTCTCAAGTAGCCAAGTAGCCATGAGGTCTACAATGAATTAATTTTTTATTTATTTTTTGTTTTGTTGTTTTAAAGACAAGGACTTGGCCGAGCGGTGGTGGCGCACGCCTTTAATCCCAGCACTTGGGAGGCAGAGGCAGGTGGATTTCTGAGTTCGAGGCTAGCCTGGTCTACAGAGTGAGTTCCAGGACAGCCAGGGCTACACAGAGAAACACTGTCTCAAAAAACAAAAAAAGACAAGGACTTAACCTTGTAACTCTGGGTGACCTGGAACTTGCTACATAGACCAGGATAGCCTTAAACTCCTGTCTTGGATTAAAGGCATGGGCTACCACCCCAGCTGGAATTCATATTTCTCACCTGAACATTCCTTCAGGAAATAGGAAGTCCATAGCTAGTCCAGCTGTTTCATCTTGTCATCCCTGCTCTTTAGTCCTTTACTTTTGTTCAGTGCTGCTGCTGGTTGTTTGTTTGTTTTTTGTTTGTTTTGTTGGTTGGCTGATTGGCTGGTTGGTTAGTAGTTAGTTGGTTGGTTAGTGGTTGGTTGGTTTTGGTTTTGAGACATAACCTCACCATATAGCCTAGGCTGGCCTCAAACTTGTAGCAATCCAGCCTCAGACTTTCAAGTGTGGGACTCCAGACATGAGCCACCATTTCATGCTCTCTTCCATCCTTAATATATGGCTTTTATCCTCATGGTGCACAATGGCAGTGTTTCCTGTACACTCGTATTCCCATCTCAGGCAAAAGGAGGAAGACCACAGACAAGAGGCTTGTTAGCTTCCGTTCATATCAGGAAAGCTGGGAAAGGTAGCCAGGAATGCAAAGCTTCCATGCACAAAGCATCGAGGCTTTGTTGATAAGGAGGAAGCCCTGTGTTGGCCACAGGAGCACCATTCACGTTGTAACTGTGACTTTCTTTTTTACAGCTGGCTCATCCTCAAAGCCCGACTCAATCTCTGCCACGTTCCACAAGCAGCTTTGATGAACACAACTGAGAGCAACTTGGCCTGACTCCCCGGAGTGATCCACACAATCACAGAACAACCCTCCCAAATGTTAACATACTAAAATATGTATAACTACATGAATGGAACTCTTCTTGAAGACTCATATGTTCTGGTGTTCATGATGGTAAGGGGACTGGATGAGAAAATGCAGTCTTCAAAGTAGTGTTTATCCTGGAATTACCCAATTTAGATTAGAGTGGCTATTCAAATTTAATTCCATAGGGGTTAGCAATATGGTTCAAAGGATAAAGACACTTGCCACCAAGCCTAATGACTCAAGTCCAATGCTTAGGTCCCAAATAGAGGGAAGAAAAGTACTATGATATGTATGATATGTGCCCCTTCAACACACAAGATTAATAAATATGCTAGGAAATACTAACGGTAAAAATAGTTTGTTATATAAAGGTAGTTATGACATTAAGAACATAGTCTGAGTCTTCTCTCTCTCTCTCTCTCTCTCTCTCTCTCTCTCTGTCTCTCTTTTCTTTCTTCCTTTCTTGTTTCTTCATTCTTTTTTCTTCCTCCTCTTCCTCTTCCTCCTTCTCCTCTTCCTCCTCCTCCTCTTCCTTCTCTTCTTTTTGGGTCTGGACTCGTTCCTCACACATTGCTAAGTACATATACCCTGACCTACACCTCCAGCCTTTATTCCTTGCTTTTTATATCTGCTGTCCATTTTCCAGCAGTCAAATAAAGTCTTCATGATTTCACATGAACCTTCTATTTTCCAGAATAGAATTTTCCTTCTATTTTCCAAGGATTCTGTATGGTCTGTAGCAGTTTTATCATGAAGCCGGTTCCTGCTTTGCTCCTTACCAGACTGTATATTTGCTGGCAGTGATGTATCTCCCACTGGACTTCATACATCCTTGCTAGTCTAGAGCTGTCAGACTTAGCAAATAAGAATATAAGGTACTCCATTAAATTTGAATTTCAGATAAACCATAAATATGCTTTAAGAATAAATCTGTCCTAATAAACAACAAATATTTGAGTGTTACAGATGGAACTCAAGGTCATGAATGTGCTAAGCTAGTAGAAATATCTCCTTAATATTGAATGATGTGAACTTACATTTAAAAACTATATTTAATTCTTTGCAGGGAGTTCTGGAATATAGTGCTTGTCTAGAATGTTTATGGCCCTGGGTTCAAACCCTAGTACTAACACACATACACACACTCATTCACGTGGTGGTTAATTATCTACTTCATATTATCTATAATTACCTGGAAGATGGCTTTCCATCTCGATTAGGCTAATTGAGATGGGATAACCTACCCTCAGGGATAGCTCACCCTAAGCTGTGGATGCAGTGTGACCAGCTGCTTTACGCTCCTGCGATCTTGTTCCCTTCCCGTCTACAATGGAGTGTATGGTAGAGCTATAAGCCAAAAGGAACCCTTCCTTTTCTCAGCTATTTCATCACAGCAACTACAAAAGTAACTAAGAATTCATCACACCTATGTATATATGTGTTATTACTTCTCTGAAATTCACATTTAACTAAGAACCTTATATTTTGCCTAGGTAGCTACCTTATTTGTCCATTCCTGAAAAATTGCAATTTATTTCTGGGATCCCATAGTTTACCACATGTCTTCCTGGCACTAAACACTATGTAGATTTAGCCAGGATCCCATCACATATGTTCTAAGGAGAATAGATGGGTAATTCCCAGTAAAGTGAGTGTCACTCAAGGTGCAGAAGTAGCTTTCTTTTTCAGTGCAGAGGAGTCTCAGGGCTTTGAGCATGCTGGGTGAGTGCTTCTTGCAAGTGATCCGAGCCAAGCCATACTCCCAGCCTCAGGCTCCTCTCTGATGCTGTTACTGCACAATGGTAGGAAAGAAATCCTACCACAGAGTTGTAGTTCCAGAAATCCCATTACTTCTATTGAATGATAGTGCTTTGAGATGACAAATCATGGTGTTTGAAAGTCATTAGACTGGAAAGTAGTCCTAGGGACAGTGTTTAGCACCTAAGAGGTAGTCCTGTTTATGAGATCCACATGTATGTTTATGATACAGAAGAGATACATCTAGAACCAGCTAGAAGGTTGTTTGCTTATGGTTTGTTGAGACAGGTTTTCATGTAGCCCGTTCTGTCCAGGCACTGTTTAGCCATGGACGACCTTGAACTTTTATGTCCTCATTCCTCTACTTATTGCGTGCTAGGATTAAGGAAAGCACCACCAAATCCAGCAGAACTTTTTTGAAAACATGCTAGCTTGTTTGATATTATGTAAAAATAAGGGAAATGATCACTGAAAATAAAGTAAGGGTTTGTAATAGAATGTTATTTTGTGGGAAATTATAATGTTTACAATAGTAATAAACCACTATGTACTGTACAAAATAACAAATAATTTGATCATTCTTATAGCATATAAGTCTCATTTAAAAAAAAAAAAAAACTAGGCTGGGCATGCTGGCTTCTGCCATTTGTGCCAGCTATTTGGAAAACAGGTGGAGGGAAGATAAGTTCAAGGCCCTCAGCTAGCCTGGGGAACTTGGTAAGAATCTGCCTCAAAAAAATAAAAATCTTGTAAAGCTGCTATTGCTGTTATATCAGTATTAAGATGTCCCTACTTTAAATTGTTTACTAATTTTTATCGTAGAATTTATATACTTTTTTACTGTAAGCACTTGTGTACTCTGCACATTGTCTGGTTTTATTAAACTACTGTTTATCAAATGCGTCTAGCGTTCATGTTGTTTTGTTCATTTTGAGACAGGGTCTCACCGTCTAGCTGGGCTGGCTTGGAACTCCTTATTCACAGAGATCCACCTTCATCTACCTCTGGAATGCTAGGATCAAAGCTGTGTACCACCACAACACATTATGAGGTTCAAAAAAACAAACAAACAAACAAAACCAACAAATACTACACGAAAGACACGGGGGCTGATGAGATGGTTCGGCAGGTAAAGGTGACTACTTAACAAGCCTGGTGGACCTGAGTGTAATTCCTGGATCCCATATAAAGATGGATGGAGAGAATCAATTCCACAGTGTCGTCCTCTGATGCTCACTGTGACATGCGTGACATGCTTCTCCACATACATCATGTACATGCACCCAGTAATTACTAATACTAATAATAAATAAAATGTTTTCTCTCTGTCTCTCTTTTTTTTTAATGAAAAGAACTGGGTGTAGTAGTACACACCTTTAATTCCAGCATGAGGGGGATCTCTGTGAGTTTGAAGTAAGTCATATATATATATATATCAAGTTTGAAGCCAGCCATACACAGTGAAACCCTGTCCAAAGAAGAGAAAAGTATATTGGCTTGGGATGTAGCTCAGTTGGACCACATACAAAGGTCTGGGTTTGATCCCTAGCATCGAATACAAATCAGGAATGGTTCTGAATACCTCTAGGAAGTTGAGACAAGGTCAGTCAGAAGCTTAAGGCCATCCTCAACTACATAGCAATTCCAAGACTGGTATGACTCAAATGAGAAGATCCTGTCCCAAGAAGTAATAACAAACAACTATGAGAGAGAGAGAGAGGGGGGAAGAGAGGTGGAGGACGAGGAGACTGGGATCATTGAGATAGCTCAGTAGGTAAAAGTGCTTCCATCAAGGCTGACAACTGTTAAGTTTTTTTTTTTTACCACTTTTATGCGTACACGTGGGTGTCTGCATGTAAGTAAGTGCACTGTGTGCATGCCTAGTGCCCAGGAACACCAGAGAAGCTTTCAAATTCCTTGACTGGAAGTATAGGTGATTGTGAGCTATCTCATGTGATACTAGAAACTGAACCTGGTCCTCTGTGAAAGCAGCAAGTTCCCTTACCTGCTGAGCCATCTCTCCAGCCTATGCCTGACAACCTGAAGATCCCAGATGGCAAACTAGTTCTTTGGCTTCTATATGTTAATCATAGTATGCACATTTATACTACACTATGTGCACACGCACACACACACACACACACACACACACACGGTATGCACATTTACATACCACACACGCTATAAATAAATAAATGTAAAAATGAATAACCAATAGACATTGTAAGTGCTATGAAAAGCAATGCTATCATCACTTCCCTAACATTTAGTAATCACTGGCCTGCTTGTTACAGTAAATGGCTCCTGACTCCATCACCCAAGAATGGGATTACTAAAAATTTCTCACTAAAAATGGAGGAAGGCAGAAAAGGAATATGATGTTTAAAATATATATATTTAAAGGGACACCAAGATGTCTGAGTGGATAAAAAGCACTTGCCAAGCAAGCCTGATGATCTGAACTGAGTTAGATCGCTGGAATCCATAGTGGACGACGGACCAACTGCAGAAAAGTGTCCTGTGATCACATGTGCATGGTGGCACTTACACACACATGCACACATAGCAGGAAGTAAAATAATATATATTTAAAGATCCATTTATTTCTTAAGTTCTTCTTAGTTAAGAGTTGTTGAGGTACTCACTTCAGCAGTTCACATTTGAAAGTTGGTAACCTACAGAGAAGATTAGCATGGCCCCTATGCAAGGATGACATGAAAATTCATGAAGGGGTCCGTATTTTAAAAAAACAAACAGAGGTTGGTTGAGAAGAATTAATGGAATCCAAGTATAATTTAGTATTTTAAAAACTGCATGCACAAGGTTCAGTCCCCAGCATTATATACAATAAATATTACTATCATGACTTAAGTCTGTGTCCCTCTGCTGTAGGCCTTTACTTCTTGGTGTGTTTGCTTGTTTTGTTTGTTTTGTTCTGTTTTGTGGGCTATAGATGTAACCTAAGGCTTCTTAGCAAGTGTTCTACCATTGGGCTACACTCCCATCCTAAAGACTTAGCACAGCACTATGCGCAGTGAATACTATGTGTTTATGCTGTTTTATGGCTGCTATTTGACTTTCTAAGTAAGAATTCCATGAATGTAAAATGACCTAATTCTATGTCTAAAACCAAAAGTATTGTAAGAAATGAAAAGTGTGGATGGTGTACATCTATAATGCCAACACTTGGGAGGAAACGGTAGACCAATCAGGAGGAACAAGAGTTCCAGGCCAACTGAGTCTACAATGGAGGGGGGGAGGGAGGAAAGAGAAAGAATCTATTACAAATGAAGGGGTAGAGCATTTGCCTAGCATTCACAAAGACTTGAGTTAGATCTCCAGCAACACACACATACTATTTATATTTCCACTATGTTAAATTGCTAGATTACAATTTTCTACAATTTGTTTGTTTGTTTGCTTGTGTGTAAAGACAGGGTTTCTCTGTGTAGCCCTGGCTGTCCTGGAACTCACTCTGTTTGCCAGGCTGGACTCAAACTCAGAGATCCACCTGTCTCTGCCTCTCAAGAATTTCTATAATTCTTTTGTTGTTGTTTACCTGTTTGTTTTGAGACAGATCTCTTAAAGCTCAGGCTGGCATTGAACTTGAGACATAGTCTAGGATGATCTTGAACGTCTAATCATCCTACCACCTCCCAAGTCCTGGGGTTGTAGCATGGGCCACTATACACTTCTATTTCTTAAAGATTAATGTGTGTGTGTGTGTGTGTGTGTGTGTGTGTGTGTGTGTGTGTGTGTGGTTTTGCAGGCCATGGGTGCTGCAAGACAAGAGCTCCTTTTCTCTGCAAGAGCTGTACTTACTTCACCTGAATCATTGATCCATCGCCCCGGGCCTTCTTCCCCTATTTTGGAGCTAGGACCTAACTCTGTAGTCAAGGCAGGTCTTGAACACAAGCCAATTCTCCTGCCTTGTCATCCTGAATGTTGGAATCACAGAAGTGCAACAATATGCTTGGCTCGCTCTTCCTCCCTCCCTCCCTCCCTCCCTCCCTCTCTCCCTCCCTCCCTCCCTTCTTTCCTTCTTTCCTTGTTTTCTTTATGGAGACAGGGTCTTGGAATGTTATCAGGCTAGCAGAGCTACTGAGCTCAAGAATCCTCCTTCCTTGCTGGGTGGTAGTGGTGCCTGCTTTTAATCCCACCATTTAAAAGGTAGAACGGGGTCGGGGGTGGGGAGGAAGGAAGGAAGGAAGGAAGGAAGGAAGGAAGGAAGGAAGGAAGGAAGGAAGGAAGAAATCTTCTGCCTCAGAAGGAGAGGGGGAGAGAGAGAGAGAGAGAGAGAGAGAGAGAGAGAGAGAGAGAGAGAGAGAGAGAGGCATTCTCCTGCCTCAGTCTTCAGAAAAGGCGAGAGTATAAGCAACCACCCACACTGAGCTGTTAGAAGAATCAGTTGGAACTGTTGTGGGTTTTGGTGTATTCTTTTAAATTGAAACTACAACCAATCTAGCTTTCGACATCTCAATCTCTACAGTCTGGAATTGAGTAAACGTAGCTTTAAGACTTTGCAGGACACTAAAAAGCAAGGGGGGAGGGGGGGTGGGGTGGAAGGGTGTGGTGGGGGCAGGGACAGACACTCGGAACTAAATTGAGAGAAAAGCCGGGCCTAACACACGGAGGAGGGATTTCACAATAGGACCGGGTGGGTTGGGATTAGAGAGGGACCGGAAGGACGCTAGAGGAAGCTCCTTCTCCGCAATGGCGGGGCCGGTCAGCTTGCGAGAGCTTCTCATGGGGGCGTCGGCCTGGCTGGGCTCTGAGAGTCCCGGAGGCCCCTCCGCTGAAGGCGGGGGGAACGCGGCTGGCACGCTCGAGCCCCCGTGGAGGGAAGATGAGATCTGCGTGGTGGGAATCTTCGGCAAGACGGCTCTGCGCCTAAACTCGGAGAAGTTCTCTCTGGTGAACACTGTGTGCGATCGACAGGTTTTCCCACTCTTTCACCATCAGGACCCTGGGGATCCAGGACCTGGAATCAAGACCAAAGCTGTCTCTGTCGGAGAGGCAGGAGGAGCCGGGGACCCGGGGGCTGCTGCCGGGGATTCTCTTCGCGGAGGTATGGCTACGGCGGAAGGAAACCGAGCTGAGCCAGGTCCCCAGGACTTTAGTCTTCTGCAGGCCTATTACAATCAGGAAAGCAAAGTTCTGTATCTTATTCTCACTTCCATCTGTGACAATTCACAGCTTTTGCGTGCTTGTCGGGCTCTCCAGAGCGGCGAAGCTGGAGGGGGCCTCTCTTTACCGCATGCAGAAACACACGAGTTCTGGAAGCATCAAGAGAAGTTGCAATGTCTCAGTCTCCTTTACCTCTTCTCTGTCTGTCATATCTTGCTCCTGGTCCATCCAACTTGTTCCTTTGACATCACTTATGATCGAGTATTCAGAGCCCTGGATGGACTAAGACAGAAAGTACTACCCCTCCTCAAAACAGCCATTAAGGATTGTCCAGTTGGCAAAGACTGGAAGTTAAATTGTCGACCTTGCCCACCTAGACTCCTTTTCCTCTTTCAACTCAATGGAGCCCTTAAGGTGGAACCCCCTCGAAGCCAAGATACAGCTCATCCAGATAAACCCAAGAAGCACTCTCCTAAAAGAAGACTACAGCATGCCCTGGAGGATCAGATCTATAGAATCTTCCGCAAAAGTCGAGTCTTGACTAATCAGAGTATCAACTGCCTCTTTACAGTACCTGCCAACCAAGCTTTTGTGTACATAGTTCCCGGAAGCCAGGAGGAGGACCCAATCGGCATGTTGCTGGATCAACTTAGGAGCCATTGTACCGTAAAAGACCCCGAATCTTTGTTGGTGCCCGCACCCCTTTCTGGACCTAGGCGGTACCAAGCGATGAGACAGCACAGCCGGCAACAGCTCTCCTTCCACATTGATAGCAGCACCTCGAGTTCTTCAGGCCAGCTAGTGGATTTCACTCTTCGAGAATTCCTATGGCAGCATGTGGAGCTGGTCCTAAGCAAAAAAGGTTTTGATGACAGTGTGGGCAGGAACCCACAGCCTTCCCATTTTGAACTGCCCACTTACCAGAAGTGGATCTCCGCAGCTGCAAAGCTGTATGAAGTGGCCATTGATGGGAAGGAAGAGGACTTGGGCTCACCCACTGGGGAGCTAACGTCTAAGATTTTAAGCAGTATTAAAGTCTTAGAAGGCTTTTTGGATATAGACACAAAATTCTCCGAAAACCGGTGCCAAAAAGCTTTACCCATGGCTCATAGTGCCTACCAGTCAAACTTGCCGCATAATTACACCATGACAGTCCATAAGAACCAGCTTGCTCAGGCTCTTCGGGTATACAGTCAACATGCTCGAGGTCCAGCCTTTCACAAATACGCCATGCAGTTACACGAAGACTGCTACAAATTTTGGAGCAATGGCCATCAGCTCTGTGAAGAGAGGAGCTTGACTGACCAACACTGTGTACACAAATTTCACTCCTTACCTAAATCAGGTAGCTACAAAGTTCCTAACATTTTGCACTGAAAATTTGAGTTGTGCTTTTAGTATTAGTGTGTGTGCATGTATGGTGTGTGTGTGTGTGTGTGTGTGTGTACGGGAGTGTACCTGTGGAGGTCAGAGGGCAGTGTAGTGAGGCCAGTAGTCTCCTACATTTACATGGGTTCCAAGGATCTGGCTCATGGAGTTAGCCTTGTGCTGCAAGCACTGTACCTGCTGAGCCATTTTTTACTCTTGTATTAAGATGATTTGTTTGGTATGTATTGGGTTTTTTTTTTTTTTTTAAAGAGCTTTGCAGAAATTTTACAGGAAATACTTTTTTCTTTCTTTCTTTGTTTTGTTTGTTTTCTGTTGTTTTTTGAAACAAGGTCTCTGTGTAATCCTGGCTGGACCTGGAACTCACTATGTAGACCAAGCTGACCTAAAAGTCACAGAACTCCTCCTGCCTCTGCTTTTGGAGTCTATGTGCCACCATACCCAACAGATACTTTCTTTTTATTTTTAAAATTGTGTGTGTCTGTGCATGCGAACCCATACACAAATACGGTGTGTGTGTGTATTTGTATGTGTGGATATGTGACTGCATGACATTTATGTGGAAGTCAGGTTCCCTCCTTTCGCCCATGAGTCCTGGGTATGGAACTCGGCTACCAGTTGAGTCATCTTGCCAGCTCCAGCCCTAAATTTGATCTTCTGCCTCTAACATGAAAACATCCCCCATGTCTAATTTTCTTTTTATTTAAACAGTGAACTCTAGTGAGTTGGTGGATGGGAAGTTTTAAGTGGGATGAAGTTTTAGAAAATGCATGGCCACCCTTTATCCTAAAGAGTTTTTGTTAAATTTATAGGGATATATTGAAAAGAAAGATCACTCATGATGTGACACAGAAGGAAAAAACAATCACTTAGAAATTTGACTTTTTATTTATTTATTTTTGGGGCAGGGTCTCACTGTAGACCAGACTGGCCTTGAATTCTTAGAGCTCCCTCTGCCTCTGCCGCCAGATTGCCGCACCCGCACTGCAGATATGAATGAGACCCCAAGTCTCATCCTCAGTGCTGAAAAAGGGGAAATCTTTATTCTTGTGAATTTAATCAAGATGTTTGTTGTTTGCTTGTTTGTGTGTATATGAGTTTAATTGCCAGAAAAATTTGGGGAGTTGATTGTTGTCGAACACAAAGTAAACTTGGCTCTGCAGAGTCTTTGTGTGATTAATAATGATGGTTACACCTTCCAGGAGAAAAACCAGAGGCAGATAGGAACCCT